AGGTTGATGGAGCCAGAGCCTTGGCGACGGTGAACACATGCGACAGAAGGGACKAAGAGGCGATGGCAGCCGACCCAGACGACACGGAGGTGACGGCAGCTGACCCAGGCGACATGGAGGTGACGGCAGCCGACCCAGGTGATATGGAGGCGACGGCAGCCGACTCAGGCAACATGGAGGCGATGGCAGCCGACCCAGGCAATGAGGAGGCAATGGCAGCCGAGCCAGGCAGTGAAGAGGCGATGGGCGACGAGCCAGGAAATGAGGAGGCGTCGGGCGATGTGGAAGCAACAACAGCCGACCCAGATGTCGTGGAGGCGCCGGCAGCCGACTCACGAACCCCAGAGACCGCCGACTCGGGGCCCAACACCGGAGACATCGGGACCACCAACTGTGGAACCACCAACTGTGGAACCACCGGGACCTCCAATTGTAGAACCTCTGGCTGTGGAACCACCAGAACCTCCAGCTCAGGAACCACTGGAACTGGAACCACCAGAACAGGAACAACTGGCTCAGAAACCACCAGCTCAGGAACCACCGGAACTGGAACCACCGACACTGGAACCAGAAACACCGGCTCAGGAAGCACGGAACAGGAACCTAACAACCGGCACAGGAGGAGCAGAAGAGGTGGGAGGGTGGGTACCAGATGACTCTCCCAAAACCCTCTGCACAAACCGGTGGAGCAGCTCATGGCCTGGCAGGAGGAGCAGATCTGGGCGCTTCCCCAAAACGTTTTCTATCTGCCGGCAGATGGAGAGTCTGTTGGAGCACATTGAGATCCCCCTGAGGATTGTCACAGACCCTCCAATGATGGGGGATGTCACCTGTTCCTCCCAGGGGGGCAAGGACGGGACCGGCTCCTCAAGGGAGGGAAGACCAGCCGAGGCGGGCCCAGGTGACGCTGGTGGACTCCAATAGCGAGAGGAGAAAGACCGGCACGCCGAGGGGCGGCGAGAAAAAAAATCTTGCTCCTCTTTAAAAAAACCCGAAAACGGGGTGCCTGTGGGCTGGGTGCATGGTCGGATCATTATGTCAGGACTGACAAAATAAGCCAGGGCACAGGAAGGTTTCAAAAATAAAATAAAAAAATAAAAAAAATGAAAAAACACAAGGCCTTTAATGAAAACTCAAGAGGCTGATGATACAGCAAAAACTCACTTGACTTGGAGCTAGACAAAGAACATGGGACAGGACA